ATACACCTATACATGTAGTTCTACATGTAGGTATACAGACAAAACTACACGCTTCCATATTGGAATGTATTGTGTATGCATGTATGTACGTATGTATGTATGTATGTATGTATGTATGTATGTATGTATGTATTCGTATGCATTCGTATGTATATACATACATATATATATATATATAAACATATGTCCGTCAAAGCCACGACCGTGAGCCTTCATGGACTCAGCCGATACACTAAACTGCGAACAGAAACAGAAACACTTGTAGTGCCCTGGAAGAGCCCACATTAAACCTTTTATAGAACCCCGAAGAAACCTGTATTCCTGACCCCGCCCCAGACCTTCAAAAAACCCATCACTAAGGAAGATGGACCCTAATCAGGAGTACGGTAAGTTCCTTAATGAAGGGATTTTGGAAGGTCTAGGACTTTGGTACCGCCGGGCCGCTACTGCTAGCCTGCTGCAGGACCTTCAGCTCTGCCTCGGCAGCCTCGTAGAGGAATGGTATGGTTTGGGGTTGAGGGTGAGGGAGGGTTTAGGATTTAGGGTTAGGATTTAGATTTAGGGTTTAGTATTTTAGATTTAGGGTATAAGGTTTCGGATTTAGATTTAGGATTTAGGGTTTCGGGGTTCGAAAGGCTTCCGTTAAGGGCTCCGATAATGGTTCTACAGGGCTGCTGTATCCTCCACAGCCGTCGTGGTGCGGACCCAGCAGGCGCTTAGCCCAAGTAACGGGTAGACACCACCAGTTTTGGCTACCAGAGTCCTGACTGGACTGGAGGCACAGCTTCGGGCGAAACGGCCACAGACTGGCCCGTAGTGACTGTCTGCGAATCCAGCCTCAACCTCTTCAGTCGTGCAACATGTGTTTCTGCACAGGAAGTGCTGTGCCCCTTGTTTTATCGAGTGTGCAGCGGCGTCCGCGAGAAAACAAGTCTTGCCCTGCACGGTCCAAAGCATTGGCCAGTTTTGGAGGCACTGTGCTGGTGTTGCTGCTGGCTCTGCTGCAGTTGTTGCTTGAGCAGCGCCACCTGCTGCACGTTGTGCAGCGGACGGTTTAGGGTTTAGGGTTTAGGGTTTAGGACCCTAAACCCTAAACCCTAAACCCTAAACCCTAAACCAAAACCCTAAACCCTAAATCCTAAAACCCTAAACCCAAGACTTTCTAGTCCTGTGGCTTTGCAGGTTGGCCCTGCCCTTAAACATATGGCAGGCGTGACACGACTGAACATCATGCCCCTTACCCATACCCCCCATAGTAGTTCCTTGTTGGGATTCCCTCCTAAACATAAGCCACAAAAGGGAACTACCATGGGGCCTATGGGTATAGCAGTCACTCCGGCAAGACCCTTGAGCTCTCAACGCCCTTAGCTCATAGAACTGAAAACCATGGAACCTGAATCCTAAACCCTAAACCCCAAACCCTAAAGCCTTAAATCCTAAACCCTAAACCCCTGAACCCCAAACCCTAAAGCCTTAAACCCTAAACCCCTAAACCCCTAAATCACAAATCTTCAATTGACCCAAGATCTCCAGAACCCTGCCCCAAACCCCTAGCTCCCATACCCTCCCCCCCCCCCCGTTAGACCTCAAGCCCAAATCCAAATCCTACACCACGCACCTCCTTAACTTTTTCACCCTGAAACCTCGGATCTAAGGGTAATAGTATAGAGGCGCTGTATCATTAGAATAGGGTCTAGGGTTTAGGGTTTAGGGTTTAGGGGCCCATGATACTATACTTAGAATAAGGAACCCC